ACATATACACATCATATACATATACACATGCATATACACATACACATCATATACATATACACATACATATACCATATACATCATATACACATACACATATACATCATATACACATATACATCATATACACATCATATACATATACACATACACATCATATACATATACACATATACATATACACATACACATCATATACATATACATATACATCATATACATATACTTATACATATACACATACACATATCCGAGTTTAGTAACTTCCAAAAAAGCATACCAAAATTCTGCACCTTTTTATGAAAGTACATGGAAAGTACAGACGTATTCTAATAGCCACTGGTTTACTGTCAGGACAGACAAAATAAAATAAGAGCTACGTAGAAATAAGATAGTGACAAGTATCATTTCAGTTTTACAGAATGTTGGCCAAAGATATATCAAAAAGATTATGGGCAAAAAAACCCCTAATTGTGAAGTAAGAAATTGAAAACAAAATAACTAAAGCTTTCAACCCAAGGGGCAAAAGCAAACATAGAAAACAAACAAACAACAAGCAAAGAAAAGCACAAATAAACCAAACCTAGTTACCTGTAGAAGGTCAAGCCAACAAGATGAGTCAACAGTCTAGCTGGCAATACCAACTACACTTATTGGGGTATAAAATGTACACATGTACACATAGATTAAGAGGATGTACTGGGGAGTAGGGAGCAAGAAGAGGAAGTTGAGGGTTGGTATGATCAAGGCAAATTGTATAGATGTATGAAGTTGCCGAAGAATAAATAAAAGATCTTAAAAAAATAAAAACATTCAACTACATTCAAGATCATTCTTCTTTCTTTGACTTCCTCTTCAAGGACATGAATTACCAAAGTTAATTAATCTCAATACTTCATAAACATCCCAGGCTTCCTGCTCCTGCATCTCTACTGCTGCTAGCTTAAGGCAGACTTTTTCTTGTTGTTGCTTCTCTCGCCTAAAAGGAACTTGAAATTACCTTCTTGGTCACAAGTTTCTATCTCAATCAAGATAATTTCTAAACATCTACTGAAAAAAAATCTATGAGAACCTGAGAGAAGAAAGGACCAGAAAGCTATTTTGCCAACATGTTTCTCAATTAGGAGATTAAGTTGTGTATGTGTCTGTGTGTCTGTGTGTCTGTGTGTCTGTGTCTGTGTGTGTGTGTCTATTGTCAGTTTTCCTTAACATTATTTTCATTCAAAAAGTCAACAGAATTTGTAAAAGAGGTGACATCATAAGTGTAGTCATTTTTGAGGAGAATACTCGTCCTACTAGACAGCACAGGAGGCTGATTGATCAGCATGGTGTCCGAGCAGAAATATAAATAGAGATCAGCTTTTATTTAATCTAATTAAGAGTCCGTATGGGCATATAAATAAAATTAGAAATGTGATATATAATAAAAGTGGCATACTCCATCAAAGGGTAAGGATGAGTCAATATTAATTGGTTCTGAGATAGTTATCCATCAAATTAGAGAGGGGAAAAAGGAAGTCAGAAAATTAGCTCACATGTTTATGACTCTAAATTCCAGATGGCTACGCTGCTAAGTTTTAGAAGAAGTATGAATAGCTTAGTCTCCTTTTTAGAAGACTAGGTAGGGTTTTGTTTTGAGGATTACTATGGACCATCTTGAAGGTTTCTCCTCACTTTGTCTTTGTTTGCCAAGCTGTGTGACATGGTTCCAGGAGGAGAACCTTTTCTAGTTTGTCCTTCTGTGGCAGAGGCTGCATATACTTCATTGCCAGACCAGGGCTTTTTTTCTAAACATTCCACTGGGATTCTTTGCTCGAAGCAACCCCGTAATAGCTAAGTTAACAGACAATCTGCAGTGAGACAAATACATTTTGTTTTCTTCCAGATGGTTATGTTGAATGTTGTCTGCCTCAAATTTCTTTGTGCACACCTTCATTCCCAGTGGCCTGGAGAAAAGATGATGCCTTTTACAAGGGTATGAGTGCCCTTCCTTATAGGAAAAGACATCAGGGAACTTATCTCTCTCAGCCCAGTGAAATGAGTCTCCGTGAGAGGGCTGCTTTCTGAAGCCCAAGGAGGGAGTCCTCACTAGAACCCTATCCCATTTGGAGTGTCTAGGCTCTAGAAATAAGATGCAATCCCAGATTTTCAAACCTCCCAGTGAATACATGATATCTCTAGCCGACTGATACAATGATAGTACACTTTGCAACACACTGAAGGTTGGCTTGGTTTTTCTTACACTTGTAGTTTTGCCTGGGTACATATAGATAATATTGTGTTAAACAGCTGATACTAGGAATGAATTCCAGAGAATACATTGCATGAGGACAGGCATCAAGCAGCAGTTTGGTTTAATATAAATGGTTTCATTTTTATAAGAATGGCTTCATTACTATATGTTTTTAAAACATTTTAAATTTTAAATGTTTGGACAACTGCATCAGAAGCATCTTGTCATGAAAATGTCAGTTCGTGGAAATCACTTATATTGAGTGTTCTTACTATGTTCCAGGCAGTGAGTTACATTCAATATCCATTTGATAATGAATCCTCTGACGTAGATGCTATTTATATATTCATTGTACACATGACCAACTAAAGCCCATAGACATTAATTTACCAAAACTTCATATACCTGTAAAAGAAAAAGTCAGAACTTGAATAGCAACAACCCAGTTCTGGAGTCGTCTCTCTCACTCGCAAGGAATTTAGAAGGCTAGTGTAAACATTGACAAATTAGTTTGAATAAAATGAGATGTGGAGGTTTGTCTTTTCATTATGTCAAGACACATGAAACCTTCAAAATGCAACAGTTTTAACCCCAAATGGAAGTCTCACATTCTCTACCCATAAGTCTTTTGATGAATATGTTATTTTTGTGAACCTTAGTCTTCCATATTCAGAGAGGACAAAAGTAAATGAGCAGAGTTTCCAAACTCTCAAGGCCACATCTGTACTCCACAAAGCAAATCTGGAAGCTAACATTTTAGGCCTTCTTAATCCAATGGGGGGAAATGTGCCTTAGGTTAAAATATCAAACATGATTTTTATTGTATTATATTCTTATAGAAAAACTGCCTATCAAATTTCTTATTGCCAGAATGGTTACAGAAGAATACAGCCTCTAGTCATTGTCTGGGGGAAAAGCTTTTTACACGTAAGACTGCATTTTGAATCACAGAGTGAGAATTATATTTCTATTTCCATCACATTTTTTGAGACAGAGTGGTCTTGAACTTGCTATGTAGCTAAGGATGGCCTTGAACTTCTGATCCTCCTGCTTCCATCTCCAGTGCTGGGATTAGAGGCATTTGCCACCACATGTTTGTGGTGCTAGGGACTGAGCCCAAGGCTCTGTGGATGCCTTTTTCCATTGGCTACACCCCCAGCCACACAGCCTCAGAGAACTATAGCCTGGCTATATCATGATATTTGAAACTCAATGATTTACCACTGGCATGTGGGGACTGGCCTCACAATTCTCTAAATCTGTGTTTCTTTTTTGTTTCCGTCAAGGAACTTGAAGATATATCACAAACTCTTAAAAGTGACCAGCATTTTAGCCTTCAGATGTTTTCTGGTGGACAAGACAGGGCCTTGTGGGAGGTAAGAACTGACATTTCCAAGGTCATACACTATTCAAAGCTGAGTCAAGAATAAAATCCTGAGTTATGGCTCCTGCTCCTTGGTCCTTTTTTGCTGTGCTGTAACACGGCTATTTTTTTCCTGTTATGTAATACACGCTAATCTGATTTTCTTTTTCTCCTTCTCAGCTGAAGCTCTGAATCAGCTAATCTTGATAATTACCAGGACAGGAAGCAAAAGACTGAAAATGGTTCTGTAATCAGAGAAGCTCCCTGCTAAGAGAGACGTTCTATTAGAAGCATGTCCCGAATGCTGGGACTCCACATCTGCTCTGCTTTCCACGCCCCTTAAGTTACTGTGGCTCTCTTTTTTTCCCTGGGAGAGCTTAAGTGGCCCAGCTAGTCAGCCTCTTAACCGCTGCCTTTGCATTACCCTTTGGGACACGGCCATTTGCAGGCTCCCATAACTTCTTTCTGAGCCACGGCCTGTCCTATGGTAGCCACTTACTTGTGTCTTGGCCGTCACTTGCTATCTGTTTCCTTCTTGATTGTTTGACCTCCTGACCTTGAGCTCAGACTTTACCATCTTCTTGCTTCCTTACTCAACTCTAAAGTGTTCAGATGCCCAGAAAATCGTGTGACAGAGATGGATGGGGCAAGGATCATCAGCAACTTCAGAGACGGGTTCTGATTCAAACTTGTCTCTTCTGTAGAAAGACTCCCTCAGCCCTAGAAAGCTCCCTAGTGTGTTCTTGATCCCTTTATATAACCAGGGTTTCCTGTTAGAGCATACAGCTCTTTATTTTAGAATTTCCTTTTCAGACTAATTTTTACTGTTTTCTTTTGGGCCCAGATACAGTCACCTTTAAAAACACTGTTTTAATCTCTTGGTGTAACTCATAAAATAAGAAGGTCAAGCTCATTATCTCCAATGCCTTTCTCAGCTCTGCGGTTTCATAATTGTAGGGAATTCTAAGGATTGTTCATCAGAACATCCACACAGCTCTCTCAACTGTGGATTGTCCTCCCAGCCTTAGTCACAGGAAGTGGATCCTTTTCTTATTAAAATAATGGCTTCCTCCTCCTGGGTCAACATATTAAGTCCCAGCAGCCGCCAGTACCGTTTCATGCACACAGTGGGCAACCCGTTGCCATCAAACCCTCTGTGAGATCTTTAACTAGGAGGTCATCAGAGGAACAACATGGAAAAGTGGAGATTTAAGTATGAAAGTGGGAGCATAAACTATATTATAAAAACCATTTCTTCTATTTGTAGATACAAATATTGAATGGGAACACTCGGTGTGACAGATCCTCGCCCTGATATTGCTTATCCTGACATTGTAGACAACGCTTTACCAGATCACTGTCACAGACTAAAGCCCCTCCCTTACCTTTCTCTGTCTTTCATTGACTGCTCTGCCATTAACTTCTTCAGTTCTTCCAAACGCCGGAGATCTCTCATTTCCATTTCTTGCCACTTCTCTTGTTTCTTAGCCCAGTATTTTCTTATCTACCGTATAAATATTATACCAAATTTAAATTAACAACAGATAAAGTGGGGGAGAGGCAATAACAGTATGCAGTTGCTAAGACAGCAAAGATCAGATTGAAATGGTATTTCATCTTTGTGTGTGTGTGTGTGTGTGTGTGTGTGTGTGTGTGTTTTCGAACTGTCTATAAAATATTCACAACAGAAAAAAATAAATTAAAACACAAAAGTGCAAGTCTCTGGAAAGCCCTTGGTTTAGCCGTTTCTGAAGTGGAAATGTACCATATGCTGAAACCTCAATTTTAATCTATGGCTGAAATAATTGACTTTCAGGGAACCACAATAAAAGCATGTTACTGCCTCTGAAGAATATGACCTACCTGTTACCCGGGAGTATTTTTATCCTCTTATGGTAATGCAGTCTTTAACAAATATAGCATTAAGACTATTTTTACCTTAAAAGCATGAGTTTATTTATGCTAATGGACAGCAGGATATTGAAAGCTTTATGCTCCTGGAGGAAGTGGCAGGAGATGGGTGGGAGGAAGAAGGGAAAGTACGAATTAACACGGTTGTGGTAAAGAGTAGTCTTGACCTATGTGGTAAAATAAAGGTCATGCTTATCAGGTTGACAAAGATGGAAGGCCTTGTTCTTCCTGGGCTGGCTTTACTTCTCTCAATGGAAGCAAATAAGCGTTATTTCCAGGGAGCTGGAGCCATTTCAGGGCTCCACAGTGTGCTTAGGCAACTCAAGTTAATAGAAGCCTGTTCCACTACTCTAGGTTGCCATGTTACTGTCGCGAGACACTGGATCTTGCTAGAAAAAGACAGAGTGGCACCTCCTCAGTGCCAACAGGCAGCAGTCTGTAGGGGCTGGCTAGCCAAACCTCCAGTGTGGCATTTCCTCTTCTAAAAGTTTAGATAGGAAAAGCTAAGTGGTTTTCTTGCTGTCCCTAGCAGCATGTTGTCTGACCCCTAGGTGCCTCTCAAGAGGTACCCCATGATCTTCTTGGCCACAGGCAGGCAATGATACTGTGGAAAAGGAACAGCAAGTCAAGGTTAGAAAGAATCCAACAACAAATATATATATATATATATATATATAAGAGTAAGAGAAAGAGAGAGAGAGAGAGAGAGAGAGAGAGAGAGGAGTTCATGTGATAAATGCCAGTAATCCCTGAGTGCCAGGCACGATAACAGATTATCTTTACTGGGGTATACATCATCTTCATACTTTTCTGCAGTCTTATAGGTTTTCTGGCAATAAATATGTCTTTCATTATCACAGTGGTGATGCTACTTCAAAACCAAGCTTTAAAAGGCATCTATATGAAAGAGAACTTTCTCCTGGGTCATTCCAGCCCAATAATAGACGCTTACTCTTAGCACTGGCCTGGAAGGAGGAGCAGACTCCTTCTGAAGACCGGCTGCTGATGCCTTCTTGTCTCTGCCATTACTTGGTATGTTGCCTTGTACAGATCAAAGAATATGATCTTCTCCTTCCCTTCCTTCCTCCTTTCTTCCTTCCACGCCTCTCTTCCTTCTTCTCTTCTTCCTGCCCTCTCTTTTCCCACCTCTCCTTTCTTCCTCTGATGCAGTCAGTCACAGTGTTTAAGCCTGAGCTGGGCCCCGGGAAACCTCAGTGCCATGATCTGAAAGGCTCCTGACAGCTTCAAACTTCAGAGGACCTCATCCTTGCTATAACTGAAATCCCTAGAAAAAGAGACACTCACTGAATATAGCACCCTTTACCTGTTCTTGTCAGTGCTACGTATGAACTCCTAGGTCACCTCCAGATGCAGTCGAGAATTGAGACACCTGAGTCACCAACTCCTCCAAGCTACCTCTGCCGACATCTAACCTGCCTTTCAACCCATTATCTTTATGTTTTCAAGACTTTTCCAAAAATATGCCTCCTCCTTCAAGGTTTGGTTATCATTAATATTCTACCCATAAAATCTTAAATTATATAGCAATGGGTTCTTTAAACAGAATTGGCCCCTCTCCAATCATCTGGCTCTGGGCTCAGTACACTGTTTAGTTTGGCTCCAAACATGATGCTTTGCTAATTAGTATATCCCTTCTCTGTCCTACTAGATTGCAAAACATGTGATTTACCAATCTTGGTGTTTTGGAGTGTCTTCTAGAACAGAACATGTACTTAATAACCATTTGACTAATGATACAATTGTGTAAACAGGTACCAAATCCATGGCTTGGGTGAGACCTTCAGTGACAATTTCAAAATTAATTCCTGGTCAATAGCTCCCAGTTTCTTAACATCATTCCAAGACATGTTCCCTATGTTCTGCCTACGTCTACCTCCACATTTTTCACAGGGGACACAAAATCTCTAACCTTCCTTAAAGTCCCACCAAGGAGAGGAAGGGCTGTCCCTCCCTCAGTGGTCATATGTACACGGTCTGGAGACCCTAAAAGACCCTTACCCTACCCAGAGGCAGTCCTCCATCCTTAAGTCTCCATATTCCTCCACCTGCGCTTCTCTTCACTCCCCCTCCTTCTCTGAAATACAATTAAACATTTATCTCTCAAGTTAAAAAAAAAAAAAAAGAATAAAGCCTTTTCTGAAACCAAGATGGTAGCAACATGCCACTCAAGGTTCCTTTTGGTTAAAGCATCTGAGACTAGGTGTTGCTTTCCTCCTTTACAGCTCCTATACTATTCCTTGCTCACGGCATTCCTACATCTGCCTTCTAAACAGGAGGGATTGAGTAAGCAGGAGGAAAGGCAGAGCAAGTCTAGGCAAGTTGTAAATCCAAATATATCAGCAATGAATCAGGCAAACTTGTTGCCTTCACCAGTGACAAGGGGTCAAATCAAACAACTATCTCAATTCTTATTTTATCAATCATTGGTACTTTTATACATTTGATTATATTCACACATATCCATATATATACACATATATTTAAAACATTATTGGTTTTAGCATTCATTTATTCATTAAATATTTATTAACGACATGCCTGGAGCCATATACTGTACCGTTTACTTGGGATGTTGTATTTACAGCAATTTTCATAACAATGGGACTTAGTAGAGGAAAGATACTCTTAAATAAAAAAAAATAAACGAGAGAACAGGTCATTACATACTCTGTTAACTCTTAAACAAGATTTAAGTAGTGTAAGATTCAGACTAGTTTGAGTGGCTTTATCAGAAGGCATTTTTAGAATGACTTCCACAGGACATGAATGTAAAAAGCTGATAGCCACGAGTGAGACAGCCATGGAAGAGACAGAGGTCAGAGGGGAGTCAAGGAAGCTGTGGGATCAACAGCATTGGTCAGGAGAGGCCTTCCCTGCTGCACAAGGAGAGTAGATGGGTAAGTTCATACAAGAGCCACTGGGAGTCTAGATAAGTAGCCCAGGACTCAGAAGTGAGGAAGCCACTGAGGGATTTCAATCAAGCAGTGACTCTGGGTGTAAAAGGATGGCCCTGACAGTTAAATGGAGAACGAATAGCCGAGGTACTGAGAAGAAAAGAGATGAGGTAGAAAGGTAAAACAAAGACAGGCACTTGGACTAAACCCTGGGGTGCAGTGTAGGGGTGAGGCATGCTTGAGAGTGGAATCAGCATGCTTGGTTGGGAATTCTGTCTAGTAAAGGCCTGGGATAAAGAACATGCAACAAGTCCTAGCATTTTGCTTTAGCAACTGTGAGATTGCAAGAGTGGGTTCATAAGAGGCTTGGGAAGGGAAGGCAAGCAGAAGGTCACTGGGAGCGTGTGGTTCCTGAAATGCCCAGAACACCTCTAAATGGAGATAACAGACATCTGGAGGTGTAAATTGCTAGAGGGAGAACTCAGTCCTGGAGGCCCAAATTAAGCATCTATTTGCAGAAAAATATCTGATATCCAAGACTAGGAGGAAAAGGTGCCAACCTCATTTACATCTTCATTTTCTCAGCTTTGCCTAAGAGAATGGCTTACCTTCTCACGTCCACTGTGAAATCTTATTATATTTCAAGACCTGAACAAACCTAGCTCCATCCCCTGCAGCAAGAACCCTTTGCTTAAGATTTATTGTGCTTCTCTCCTTGATTAATTTATATGGCCCCTCTCTGGATTGTTCCTGGGCTAGGGGAGCACTTTCTGTGTGCCTGGGATTGTGCAGCCTCTTGCCTTTTTGACTGAGAAACCCCTCCTGGCCCTCCTTTAAAACTCTATCTTCAGTACTGCCCTCTCAGCCTGTTTTGCTTTTGCCTTCTTCCAGATAGGGCTAGGTATGCCTGCTAAGGTATTATTTATATCTTCTCGGCATGACATCCATATGAATCTGCATTATTTATCATTGTATTCCCAGCACCTTACACTGGGACTGACATACAGTCGAATTTAGAGGGTCACTGTTAAATCAGTGGACACTTCTCCTGGTCTCTGGCCCAAGAATAATAGTTGTGGGTGGGAACCAGGCCAGCAGTTTTATTTGCAGGATGGTGAAGTCTGAACTAAGTACTTCCCCAAGGAGAGTTCCATTCACTTCTCATCAGTTAATAGGAGCAGAAAGTGAGGATCGAGAATTATTGGCTCTGCAAGCGTCAAATTAAAATCCTGGCTGAGGACTCTTAACTAGCCCTTTGAGACACTTGTTGAGACAGAGAATCTAATTGCACTGAGTTTTTGACTTCTTGTGCAATCTTTAAAACATGTCAGTGGTGGGGCATCAGACGGTCAGTGTAATAAGTTGAATGTCAAGCTCTTACTTGGACATGATATTTCAAACAAAATAAAGCAAGTCCCTATCATCCGGCCTTCCTCATGCAGATGCTGATTTGTCCTGAAGGCAAGATGCTCCTTTCCATAGTCCCATATCTCTCCATGTTAGCATTCTTACACCAGAGAGAGCAAACCAAGGAAAACAGGCTCCGTATAGATTTATGTAATGTAACGCTATTTTTCCCAGAGCATTTAGATCATTTTTATATCCTACCTTGCTTTAGCGATTTTCAAAACAATTTGTTTCTTATTAACAACCCTACCTGAAAGCATGATGTTTATGC